GAACCGGAAATTATATCTCATCTCACCTTCTTCTGAGTTCTGATTCTTTAGTTTGAGGCAATTGCTGGCTCGGCCTTTGTTCTAATAACAACAAAATGACAATGTTAATAAAGAACACGATTAGACCTTAAATCCATTTCAAAAACATATTTTCAATAAACATCATTATATTTACTAGATTTAATATTTCTTAAAACACTATTTGCAATTGTTGGTAAAAGAAAAACACTATCTGCAACTATATTATAAGAAATGAACTGTAGCCAGCCAGGAGTCCAGCGGAATACAACGAGTTTATTTAATAGTGTTTTCCCCATTTTAACCACAAGTACCCCATGGCTCATAGTCAGATGTCAATTAAAAAAAGTAATTATATGAACTTATAATTAACAAATGGTAACAAGCACCAAGAAAACATAAATATATACCCAATATTTAAAATTTTGCTAGCATTACTTGGGCGTTCGGGAAGAATTTAGTGTCTAATCAATTAAACTAAACAGAAATTAAATCAGAGATTATGCAGAGATTAGTTTTTCATTGTAATTTTTGCATATACATCTATCTATATAATTTTTCCATTGGAAGGTTCTTACAAGGGTTTTAAACACTAAAATATAATATTTAAGTATAAAAAATATTAATAAATAATTATGAGATTCTAAAAAATAGAAAGAAAAGGTTCTAAAATATTTTGTTTAAAAATTTTTTTATAGTGAGTTTTTTAATTTTAAAAAATCCATACAATATTATATTACTATTTATTTTTTTTAATATATTTGTAGAAATCTTTTTAAGAACCATAGATGGCGATGGTCTACGGTCAAGTTGACGTTTTGGTTTCTTATGGAAAATGAGACGTGGAGAAAAAAGATAACCATGAAGAATAGGGAAATGATAATGTGATTCAAATGCGACAGTGATTAGAGTGTGTGAGAGATGTGATTTGAAATCCGATTTGAAACAAGAGGACAAAGATTGGAGAAGACTAAAAATAAAGTGAATATTTTATAATATTGTTAAAAATTATGCTTTTAGATTTTGTTCGTTCCTTGACATGGTTTTAAAATTTTTAAATTGAGGTTTTTATGTCTTTTTAATTATTTTTTTTTTTCAATTTATATATCTTTTTATTATTCGTATTTTTTTATTATCTCTCTACTATATATACAATTAAAAATGTAATCAAAAACTAAATTTCATGGCTAATACTTTTCACGGCGTTAACGTTTAAAATGAACGGAATACATTAAGAAAATTAACTCCGTTTTTTGTTACGTTTATTTATTTAACGATGTATCTAAACTGACCTTACAACAAAAATTCAGGATTTTTTTGTCTCTGCTTCTCTTCTTTGGGCTGTGCTAATCCATAAAGTATAAACTGTTGTAATTTGCTTTGATAAATGAAAAATCAAAATTTTAGATGGAAAAAAAAAAATAATTAGGATTTCTATATTCAAAACCATCCAAACGACATCGTTTTATTGGGTTTAAGGTCCTTTCCTAAAATTCCAAAACTGGGAAGGTTATAATGATAATTTAACAAAAAAGCCTGTCAGTTCCTAACCGACCGGTGAGAGAGAGGCGAGAGCTTTTCGTCTCCGGCGATATTCGACTATGGAAGAGTTCGATGTAAACAATTTCAACTCTCTTTAACGATCTGGGTTTGCTTTCTTTTTCTAATTGGGAGCTTCTCTTTTTGCTTTTTTCGGTTGCAGAAAATGACGGCTTTGAAGAAAGCTTACGCTGAGATTATTCTAAACACGGCGAAGGAATCGGCGGCTAGGGTTATGATTTCCGACAGAAAATCAGCTCTGTTTCATCACGATCTTTTTGGAACCAAAGAGGAAGCTCTTCGTTTACTTGTTCGAATGAAACAGATGATAGATGCTAAGGTAAAAGAATCTTCTTTGCTCAAACTATAGAGGAATGTAGCATTTCCAGGCTCATGATTAATGGGTTTTGATTTGTTTGAGAAGATTAGTGTTTTACTTTTGTTTTTTTCTCTTGTGTTAGTTCGCTATGTGGGACTTTTTGCTTGTTGTGTTTATTCATTGATTGAATTTTATTGACAGACAATTGAAGCAGAGATCACATCATCAAACCAGCAAAGAAAGATTGATGTGCTTGAAGCTCAGCTTCAAGAGGCAGAAGATATTATTACTGACCTGAGGTCAGAGTTGAGATGGCTGAGAGACAAATTGGAGAGAGCAAAGGTTGTTAAAGAGTCGCAGGCACGGAATGTTGTAAACAAGGAAGAAGAAGCAATTTCTACTCAGAACGCTGATAAAGAGCTTGTTGTTGGAAGTTTGGATCCAAATCAAGAGGTTGCAGATACTTGCTTCTCTGTCACAGTTGACACTCTTAAGAATCAGAGATTGTTGCTTGAAGATGAATGTGGAAATGACGAGAAGGGGTTTGACGGGTTGAGTGTTAGTACTTTAAAGGGATGTGATGCTTGTGAGTCTGAAGTGGATGTTAGTATCAGTAACAAAAAGCTTGAGCTGTCTAGAAATGGGTGTACGCAGAGGATTCATGCTTTGGAAAGGAATGTTCTAGAGAGGAAACCCTCACCTTGTGCAAATGAAGAGGAACAACGTATAACTGAAAAGGATAGTGAAGATAACTTGAGCTCAGGAAAAGTGAACGGGCTTGAAACAGGCATCTGGGGAAACAAAAGATGTCTTGTTCTTGCTCTTAGATCCAGGAATGCAGAGGTCATAACAAAGCCGTCAAATGCATTTGGAATCAAGAGGAGTAGCAAGTCATGCAAATCACGAGGGAAGAGAAAGAGAAGGTGGGGCAAACGAAAAGCTACATCGGTTAGATCTCAAAGTCAGCTGATAAAACCTTGTAAATCTCAGTCTGATCTTCCCTGTTCCAAGACAGCCATGGATAATTCAGATGGTGAAGATTCTATGGAAACACATCGATCGGTAGAGAGTGAAGAGGTGGATGTCCTTAATGCCTGTAAAGGATTGGGAGATCATTTGCAGCATAAAAGAACCCTAGACACTGATAATGTCGGTATCATCCGTAATGGAAAAAGGAGCAAGAATATGGAAAACCTGGATGGTATATCTTCCCGTGTAAATCCTCTTGACCATTTGGTGGAATCCTGTGAAGAATCTCATGTAGTCTCTATTATTGTTGAGGATGATGAAAACAAGGCACATATACCTGAAAATGAGACTGAGATAAAGCCCCTTCCTCCTTTGTATCCTGGAATAACTTCATTTAAAACCAATGTGGATCCAACCTCAGGATACACAGATGACACTGTCGTCAGTGCGAATGCAGCAAATCGATCACCAGACAAAGACTTGCAATCAAGAAAAGAAGATGCGTTGGTAAAATGTAAAGGTGAAGAAGATAGTGTGGTTCCATCTACCAAAATGGGTTCTGAGTTGGTCAATCTGCATTCGGGCTCTAAAGTTACCGCAGTAGTATCAGATCAGATCAGTGAGTCTCCAAGAGCCGATGCAAATCGACTTTTGATGTATACATTTCAAAGGAAACGCAAGAAGGGATCTTTAAACGTAAATAATGATAATAGTAGTTCTCCAGGGAAAAGAGAGGTGAAAGAGAAAGAAAACAGCGCGCAAGACCCAATTAAAACCACTTTGAGTAATGAACCATCTAGCAAAACCCCCGTGGTTAGCTGAGGTCGCCACACAAGTGAGTAAATTCAAGTACAGTATTGCTTCGTTAGTCTTATTCCATTTTGTGCAAAAGCCCTTCAGAGTCTTACATCTAAAGCTAACTTACAGCATCAGGATGTGTTCAGCTAATGGTTGTCTCTTGTCATGTGCAGCTTACTTGTCTAAAAACTGATGGTAGACTGGCAAATCTTTGTGCAAAGGAATTCTTGAACTGCTTATGCTTAACTTGACAAGTATGTAATTATCCCCACACTGATATCACAACACCAAGT